AATTAAAAAAAAAACAATCACGATCTTAGCAATACAAAGCTCTAATTGACTACCAGCCATCATTCGTACAGACAGACTAAAAAGAGGCAACTAAACGTCAAGCGCGACAACGTAAACAGAGCAAAAACCAAACAAGATCATGCGGAATCATTTACTCCAATCACCGCTTGCCCAGCGGTGGGAAGGGGTACGGGAAGGGGAGGGGACGGACGAACAAAGACGAGGATGTACCGACATCGGTCCTATTACAAATCTCCATAGGAATTAATGTCCATAAAGATACTGTTTGCTAAGTAAAATCAAAAGCTGGTCATTTTGAAAACTGTGAAAATAAACATCGTTGTTGTGAAATTCTATAAAAAAAATATGCTATTAAAAATAATTTATAAATATTTTACTATGGGCAAAAATCACCTTTCAAAGTACAAATAAAAATAAGTCACAATAAGTTTTCAAAATGTATTAAGAAAACACTCTTAAATGTTTAATTTGAAAATAGCTCTTATTCTATATTTCTATGCACGCAATGTCTATTACAATACGTAATGGGGTACAGTATCTCCGCTGCAACACATCTAGATCCTTTATCGATCGACGGATCTCAGTTTGATCTACGCACGCGTACGTTAATAATTATTTGCGCTCTTTCATCCGCCGACTTGACTTTATGACCGCCCGCGCCGTGTAAACGTCTCAAATCATATTGCCGTGTAATTAATGGACATTGCGATACGTAATATGGATAATTAAGTGTACATCACAATAGTTATCGAATGGTTACTTCGAAAGATTTTGTAAAAGATCCTATGATTGCGCCTTTTTGTGAATAATTTACACTCAATCAAGTAAAGCATATTTTGTACCGCTTTTCTTCTGTCTATCCTTAGTTTTAGAGTAACAAATTACAAGAAAAAAATGTATTAGTTAATAAAATTAAAAAGTAAACCAAACTAAACATTGTTAAAATATTTTTCACAATTGGCTTTCTATCACCATCAAGTAATAGGGATAGTTAGTTGGCTACTGGTATATCTATTCATTAAAAAATGTGAATGTTTCTAAAGCAGTCTAATACAAGATTCATGTAAATCAGAGTTTTACGTAAGAATATCGCAACCAAAAGTATGACGTTAAAAATGTAAAATAACATTTACAAGAAACACATCGAACAAAAAGATCCCACGCCGCTGATCCGTATCCAACAAAAGAATATTCATCATAAGCGGAAAACGTTTAAAACATTATTCCCAATCTCGTAACAACAATAACCTAATCGATCGCGGGGATACGTTCTTAGACATATACTTTATCGTGGCATCTCTACGAAATAACGCAATAAAAAGTACTTAGTCGACAAACATATATTTTCCATCATCATACACTAACCGTAACAAAATTCAACTGTATTCCCAAAGCGTTAAGAATCATAAAACTTAGTAGTACCTTTTTTAAACGCAAATTTATTTTGTGACTGTTTGTAACGTTAGAAATGACGTGATTCATCTCGGTGTCGTACAAATCGGGTATGATATTGTATTTTGATTCAATTAGTTAAGCGGCAACTTCCATATTGGACCATGATATAAGAATTTGTTTGGGAATCAAACTACACATTGAATATGCGATCTTGATGTATTAAGCATTATTTAGACATGATATTTTGTAGCTTTTCTAAATTTATTCACTGTCAATCTGTCTCTCTCTGGATAGTTTCCTCAGTTCTAAGGGTCGCGAACTCTTTTCTTGTCCATCTCTCGAAGTGTGTTTCTTCATTCTGTACGATTCGCTCTCCTTCTAAAAGATTCTTAAAAGAACTTTTTCTAAAAGAATTTTTTAATAAAGATAAATCTCTAAAAGCTATCAAATAAAATTTAGTTGTTGAATATCTTTATAGACTGTACAAAAGTTAAAATATTTGATTTCGATAAAGTTATTATTAAGTCAGTTTTGATGATAGATTAAATAAGTAGGAATGCGAGCACAAACGTATGGCTACAGCTAGAGGCAAACATAAAACGTATGTCAGCTAGATCTTTGTCCGTTCGTACACCCATTGCCCCGCCTCATTACCTCCTCTAAGCGATATACTATGAAATTTACTAGCACACCAAACAAGACACCGGCGTACCAAGATCTCCCCTTTCAATAAAACTCTCTACACACCAATCAGTGCTATATACCACGTTATATTGGTCATCCGACGTTGATCTTTCATGTTTGCATCGAGCTAACAAGTTTCTTATAGCAATGTGATACAGTTCAAAATGTAAAGAGAATTTTGCTGGCGATGATATGTCGGAATTTGCACTAACAGTATGTGAATACTAACCACATTTACATTTTAGACATACTGCGAATAAATGTCAATTGAGACGAGCGTGTACGCACGGATGCAGTGAGTTGTGGACAGTTAAAATATCTGATCGAAGACGAGCATGAACAGATCAATCTTAATTGATGTCTCATTGTTGGCAGATGTGATTATAAAATCTGATAATTATACAAGAAAAAGCAAATAAACCACTAAATACACAATAGAACACAGATAGTTAAAGCAAGCGAAGATTCTTCTACTAATTGACACGATAATAGGACTTAAGAAGTCGATGTATTTATGGGAATTTAAAAGCCTTGACTATTTTATCGTTCATCTTAAACCGTACCTTCAATCAAAGATACGTAGCGGATCAAACGACAACATTTCGCTGACATTTATCCATTTTCCACTTAACTAAATGTCAGTTATGGATTATAAGATCATGGAACGCTTTTAAATAAGTGACCGCAATTGTTTTGTTAGAGTTTGTAGCCTAAATGGCTGAACGGATTTCGATGAAATTTGGTATAGATGTAGGATAGTCTGGAAGAACACATAGGCTATTCACTTTTGATTTTATCAATACTACACGGACGGAGTCGCATGCGGAAGCTAGTTTACTATAAAATCATAATTATAAAAAAGGATGGTGTACAGATACAGAACATAAAAACAAGGATAATGCTACCGTAATAAAGGTGAACAACCTACAAATAAAACTTTATTACGAAGTTCAATTATTAACAAAACGTTACAAGGTATTCAAAGCTGGTTATAACGTCAAACATGACAAACATCATTTACTGGCAAGTAGCAAAAGTCATGATAGCGCAAGACCCAATGGAGCAAAAAATTGACAAATTATCTTAATTTGATTCAGGGAGGTATTGTAACTTATCTGTCTGGTAAAACTTCAACTGATACCATCTGCCGCATTTGCAATTCCGACGTTACGAAACGGTACTGACTGACGTAGAAAAAACTAAAATATAAGCTTAGAAAGACAGCAAAGAAGCCGTTTATTACTATAGATGAAGTCATTTTGCAACTATAAAAACTAGTCGAGTGTAATAAAAAGTAATTACCAAATGCTGTTTAGAAATTAGACTCCCGATAATTGGTTAAATGCTAGCTGAAGAAGTCGCGGATCGATGCAGTTCAAAAACCTCGCCGGAGGAAGTTACACACCCATTTTTTTTTCTCTGAATCATAACTCTCAATGCGCCAACAACTTTCGTCGATCACAAAGTAAAGTTCCATTGAGTGAATTCAAAAACCCATTATGTAGAACATTATGAGGACCCCATTGTTTCGGCTGAATGAGCCGGCACAATATCTTACGAAATTTCCTAAAAAACCACCTTCGTATTATAAATGTTTATTATGTCGATGGAACATTATCTGATGCGGTCTCCGCGGCCACCATTGTCTTTTTGTTTTCTCCATCTTCGTGTTTTATAGCTCGGGCCGTTGTCAAATTAAAATCGACGATGTTCAGAACTGCTTAAAAATTCCCGAGCTTCTCTCGGACTAGTTACAACGCCGCTCTCGTTTTATCTTTAATCTTCCCAAATTAAAGGCAATAAATTCGTTGCTCGCATAGCTCATTGACGTCTAACAATACCCATTTTTCGATATCATTTTCGCACAATCTTTTACAAAATCGTGAGCTATTAACGCGGTTAGAAACCTACGGTTCGAGTGATCTCTCTAGTTCATTAATAATAACCTGCTCTCACTAAAACCTCGTCCGCTACAATCACGAGAGTTCATGCACGACTTATGTAACATACCAAATTATCAAGCTGTATGTTAACGTCCATTGTGTTGTGAGCGCTAATCTACATAAGTATAGGTATTAATTCGTCTTTCAAAAACGATTTTGTAAAAAAAGAAGCAGAGGTGGTATTTCGTCAGCGAGCGGTGTCTAACAAATACACAGGTTTTAATCTTCCGACGACGACGGTGAACACAAAACCAAATTTTCAATACAATACCACGTTCGTACAGGTTTGGTACGGGCGTTTCGTATTTGGGAGTAGTTGCGAGCGCAAAAGTGTCTTGTGCTACGATTTGTATCAGATTTTTTGATATTATATAACTCGAAAATCTAAAATAGACCTCCTTGAACACAAAACCAGTACAGACAAATAAAAAGTTACAGATCAAAAGTCGAATGTATGTTGTAGATAAGTAGAACTTGCACTACATCTTATTATTAACTGATAAAATCAACGGTATATTAAAACGAGTCGATTTATAAAAACACTTTCGTGATGTAATGTACTCGGACGGAGAGTCGACGATCACTCACAATAGCGAGCGCTCTAGAGTGACTAGGAGAAAACATTGATTAATTACCATAATAATTTATTTGATACTCCAAAACTTGATACGGGGAGGGGCCGGTTACACGAGCGGGACGTTTAAGTTCATTTTGAACTAAAAACTTTACAAGAAAGAGATGCAAACGCAAACATACCAACGCTAGTGACTTGGAAGTTATTAAATGTTTCCTATATGATGAAAACAGTACATTGTTTTTTGAATATGATGTATGAAGGTGATTTAACTGTTCCGAACAAAAGAATCAGTTTTTTGGTCGGGGAATGTTTGAATGTATCGTTAGAGGATATTAGCATGTTAATATTTTTAGTTTATTAACGTTGTTTATTTTTTTTAGGTCTTCTATCTGCATTGAATCACTTGGATCAGGTTCGGAAGAATTCTTTACAAACAACAGTGGATTATTCCAGATACGTTAAAAGGTTTGTGTATATAGTAAATAATCATATACTAATATACTATTATAATATTATAAATGCGAAAGTTTAGATGGATGTTTGTTAGAGTTTGTAGCCTAAAGGACTGAACGGATTTCAATGAAATTTGGCATAGACGTAGAGGATAGTCTGGAAGAACACATAGGCTACTTAGTTTTATAATTCCTCGCGGGCGAAACCTAGTAATTATGTAATATTTTAAACGGAATCAAGTATTTTAATATGGTAGAGCTTTAAAATCAAGTGCTATACAACATCGCCGAGACTTTTTGTGTTGTTCAAACAATACTATTAGTCATATCTCAACATCTGGCAAAATCGTTTCCACAGCTATGACTTACTTGTTTTTTCCATTGACGATATTAACATAAGTCATGAATTTATCTGCCTAAAGTTTTTATATTATTATAAGTTTGCTAACAATGAATTGTACAGTCCAAACATGTGTCGTTGGATTTTGTTTTTTGCAAGTAATTCTCATATCCGTAATCTAGTTTTTTTATCTATTACAATGTATAAACCAAGGTACTTCTAATGTTTTTGTACAGGATCTTTGAAAACCAATATAAATTTTAGATTATGTTGATCTTATCAGTTTGACTAGAGAGATTTGATTCGTATAGCTTCTAGCTTCTTTAGGAATGCTATATAGCTTAAGTTTATTCTTAACTAGCTTCCGCCTGCGACTCCATCCGCGAGGTATTAATAAAAACAAAAGAAAGTAGCCTATGTGTCCTTTCAGCTCTTTAGGCTACTATCCCTATCCAGAAAGTAAGCTTAGTAACATGTGGTTTATTTTTTAGATACAGTTCAACGTTAGAATGCGGTTCATCTTACTGCAAGGATCTGGGCTATCGAGAGCACTTTCATTGCATGGATTGCACTGCGAGGGTCTTTTGCAAGAAAGAAGAAATGATCAGACATTTTAAGGTAAGTTGTTAAAATATCTTAAAGCAAGTCTTTAGAATGGCCAACATTGCCTTCAAGCTGAGTAAAATTTAGAAATTGTCTTGCTAATAATTGAAACATTTATAAGAGCTTTCTAGTTATGTCTTGTAAATCTTTATACAAACTATATAATTATTAATTAACCTTTTGCAACAGTTCCAATGTAAGAGGTTATTTTATTTCGTTATTCTTTTGTTGAATAGTTATGTAATTTATTACAAATACTATTGCATCAGGCTCTCAACAATTGATAGACGATTAATCTTCAAGCTTGTTTGTTTTTTACAGTATGTTTGCATTAACCGATTCATAGTTTTATTTTAAGTTATTTTAGTTTTTTATTTAACACTGTCGTAATATTTGCCAAGCAATCATATGAATTGATACTTTGTCGAAGGCTTTAGAATTATGAATACATTACAATGCTATTTTAAAAGACAACTTTTTATAAAACAGATGTAAATTTGATTATGTTAACTGTGTTTAATATAATCTAAAGCAAGAATTCTTATTTACCTTGAAACAACGTGATTAGATTAATGAAAAAAGTTAGTTTCACTGTAGTTCATTTGCGTAATGTTAAAGTTCTATTATTTGTTCAGTGGCACAAGAAACGTGACGAATCTTTAGCGCACGGTTTCATGCGTTACTCTCCCCTCGACGATTGCTCCGAGAGATTCAGCGACTGTCCTCACAACAGAAGCCAAACTCACTATCACTGCATCCAAGATGGCTGCGATAAGGTATTTATATATCTATTATTGATTCCAAACATCGAGAATTTCTTTATAATCACATTTATCAAAATATTTCTTATTAAAACATATCGTTACATTCAAAGAACCAATTTCTTCAAAATCAATATCAAAAATGTGTTTTCCAGGTGTACATATCAACGTCTGATGTACAAATGCACGCGAACTATCATCGCAAAGACTCTGCCATTCTGCAGGAAGGCTTCCAAAGGTTCAGAGCAACTGAGAGCTGTGCTGCACCTCATTGTGTATTTGCTGGACAAAGAACTACACATTTCCACTGCCGACGACCTGGATGTACATATACATTCAAAAATAAAGCTGATATGGGTAAGTTTACTTCTTTATCGAGTAGAGTCTCGCTCGAAAGTCGCACTATTTGTGACATGATGACAATTGTTTCAAATTACCTTGAAAACATATAAATAAACAGAACATGTTCCACAGAAAAACACAAAACTTACCACATCAAAGATGAAGCCCTATCAAAGGACGGTTTTAAGAAATACATGAAGAACGAAGCCTGTCCCTACAGAGACTGTAGATTTAGTAGGACTTGTAACCACATACACTGCATTCGACCACATTGCAACTACGTTCTGCACTCAAGCAGTCAGATTTTCACGCATAAGAGGAAACATGAGCGAAAGGAACAAGAAATGAATTTCGGGTGAGTGCTTTGCCGTTACTTTCAATCGTATACTCTAGCTTAAACATAGTTCAATGACGGAGTGCCACAAGGTACCATTATGGGACCCGTACGATTTTGTGAATTCCCATTTTACTAGCGTAGAATTGCCTAAGACATTTCGAAATTGTTTAATTTTAACTGTAGATAACGTTTATTCATTTTGTATCGTAGGCTTCCAACGTCAGTGATCCAGAGCGCACTGATGCACCAGGGTGCGGATCTAAGCATGTACTCTCCTGGAAGTAACCTTCATATAGATGATGATATGTCAAGCTCAATGCTTGATGACTACTCTAATCCATACGTAAGTAAAATAATAATTAGATACAGGAACCGATATTAACAAAAGTTGATTCCTTTCTAAATATAAGGAATTAAATGGTCGAGGTTTTAATCTAGGATAGTTATAACGTGTTTGTTAATATTGCAGAATCCAGCGTTAGTAGATGAAGTATCTCGGAAATATATAGAAGTATTCAATGGCAGTAAAGAAGCGGAAGATAAATGTAGCAAATGCAGCGCCCTCAACAAGCACTATCATTGTTTGTTCGAAGGCTGCAAGATGGCACACAGGTAATGACTATATCTATATCGTATTTTATACTTGTTTGTACTATTAAGAGCAAATTTCTCGAACTCCTAGACCTGTTGATCAGATTTTTCCCTTTTGGAGTATCAGTCGTCATTCATTGTGTTTTTGTACTGTTTCTAAAGTCCCTCTTTTTCTCTAATAGTTGTCACAATACAATGGTGAAGCACGTCTTAGAACACGAACAACAAAACCAAGTGACGGATGCTTACTTCATGACGTTCTCGCGGAACAATCCCTGTGGGAACTCCGCCTGTCAGCACATCAGGGACATCACGCATTACCACTGCACTTGGGTAAGATTTCAGTATTGATTGGTTATACTAATTTTATGTTTTGTTTAAATTTATTCAAACAATAATTTATTTTTTTCGTTTTCTCACAGGAAAACTGTGGTGCTGTAATCCTGTCATCTGAAGAACACCCATTCAGACGTTTGGAACATCATCGTCAACACGCGATTCTCAGCCCTATGTCACCAAACCTAGCGGCTAGATTCGCTCCAAACTTTACACCTCAACTCTCTGCTCAATTACACCCAAATATGGCGGCCCAATTAGGTCAAGTGCCGAATTTACCAAATCTCCCGCCAAATCTTGCTCAATTGGCGCAGATGACGCCAAGTCTTTCTTCTCAATTAACGCCTAATCTGCAGGCGCAATTAAATCTAGGTCCAAATCCCAGCATAGTGCCACAACAAGTCAACCCATCTAGTTCTTTAGATGAAATGTTTAGCAGGAAGAGAGGAAGGCCACCAAAGAATAGAGTGGTTGAAGTTTGGACAGATAATGTAACTCCTCAAGCCATTTTTACGTCATTCAAATTACCAAAAAGTAATCAATTGCCACCAGCAGTGCCGTCCCCGGTCATAGCTACTATTGAAGAATTTCCTGTAAGTATTAATATACTACTAGTTACTAAAAAACAATCAAAACTTGTCTATAAAAGCAATGTTTTGAATATTTTTTATTTCTTGCAGAGAATAAAATTCCAACACTTCGAAGTTTACACAGTACCAGACACTTGTGCGCAATATTACCCTAACTGTCAACTAAGGATGACCAGACTACACTTGCATTGCTTCAACTGCAGCTTCACGGGAGAAACCCACATCATTATGGAAACTCATATGAGAGAATCTCACTCCATCTCACCCCTTCTAGAAGGATTCGATTACTTCTCATCCTTCGAACAATGCGGTGGGAAGAGTTGTTTCAAAAATCAACTGAGATCTCACTTCCATTGCGCCCAAGGCAACAATTGCCCAGCAATACTAACTCAGTATTCAGCATTAGCTACACACAAACACGGAAGAGGAACTCCAGTTATTAAAAGTGAAACAGATCAAGAGAAATCATTTGACGAGGCCAAAGATTATTCTATAAAAGAAAGAGCGTCTGCTGATAGTGTTAGTTCTATGAAAGAACACAACGAATCTTATACTCCAACTAATTTCTCTATAAAGAGTGAATTTGAAAGGGAACAGGATAATATTTCGGGTGAGTATTATTTCAATATATAGCTCTATCAGATTCCTTGTATATTAATTTCTTTACATAAGAAAAACATACAGACGAATTGAGTACCTCCTTCTTTTGGGAAGTCGGTCAAAAATGATGTGTTAATGAATAAGAATAATTTGACATATTATCTTAATTTCAGTAGTAAAAGCGACTGGAACGTTTTATCCGTCGTCACATCTCCGAAGCAACACCTCATCACCCTCACCGAGAAGCATTTACGATGCATCACCATCAAAGGACATGAAGCTTCGTATGGAATATGAACAGAAAAGACAATATGAGCCTCCAAAGCACTCAGGACCAACAATACCACCATCATGTCACGATCAAGCTTGTCCCTTGAACAAGAATGCTGGAGGAATGAACTTGCATTACCACTGCCCTCACTGCAGTCAGGCTTACGTGGATTTGAAGTTGCTTTTCAGTCATATGATGAAGAAGCATAGCAATACTATGGAACAAGGACCTGTTGGATTGCAAGCGACTAAGGTACAATTTCACCTTAATAATAAATAAATCTCCAATCTCTGTGTAATACTACATTTAAATCTGATACTTTAGCCAGTACAATCCTTGTGATAGTATTGCTTAATTAAATTTATATTATTTTATATTACCAGGAAACTTTAGAACGGGAGTATCCAGAAATTTCAATACTACCATCCACCGCGTCTTCCTCCACTGCTGGTCAAATGCCCTCGCCGAGTCAAAGACCAACTAATCCAGCTGAGCAAGTAAGTATTAAAAAGAATGAAGATATTCCTGAACAGCTCTTTCATGTCTGTTTACTAATATGTTACTAATTGCAGGTTCAAGCGGTGCAAAGTCTTCTACTCCAGCAGTACCTGGCAGGTGGTCGCAAAGGCAGTCTTCAAGATCAGTTGAAAATGCACCAACAATACACGGCCTCTTTGGCGGGTTTGCCTGGCTTAGCACAAGTCGCATTATTCTCACAAGGGTAAGTTAAATGTGATTGTCTTCTAAACTTCATTTACCATCATCAAACTATTTAATAATTTTCTTAATACTTCTGAATCAAAAAGCTCTGCTCCTCCAAGTTTCCAACTTATCTCTTCTTTTGTATCTTTTGGGTAATAGTGTGTGGCATAATTAAAAGATTATTTGTTATTCCAGAGGGTCACCGTTCCCGCTGTACCCCACCATGCTTTATCCGCCTGAGCTGCTGTTGGAACAAAGTCTGATGCAGGGTCACGGAATGCCTCCAGGCATGGACAAGGAAGCGGAAATGATTGCCAAATCGTGAGTATTTATAACCACTTAAGTACTTTTAATACAACAAATTATATGATAATTTTAAAATAGTTTGTTCAAGTAACCAATAGGGGCTAATAACCATGTAAATTATGGTAATTTAATGTGATTTAACGGTATAATTTGTTAGCAGGCGAACCCATACCACCAGAGGCCCTCACATGCGTGTCATGAAGGATGAACCAATTCCTGAAGGATATCTGAGGTTTAGGTTCAATGAGGATTGTGCCTACCAGCACTGCGGCTATAGGTGAGAATGCTTTAAATGAAAAATTCATTTTTTAAACATGTAAACAACGTAATATTAAATTTTTTTTTTCTGTAATAATATTCTAATAAGGTTTTCTTCGGAAACTTAATCAAATGTTTTATTTTCAGAGAACATCAAACTCACTTCCATTGCACTCGTAAAGATTGTGGCTATTCATTCTGTGACAAGACAAGATTCGTTCAACACACAGCCAGACATGAACGGTATGACATCATTATTTTGTGTATTTAAGTTGTACAGAAAACCTTTTTAAACTACTCAGTTTTCAAAGCGTAAGAAGACCCTACGAGCGCCATCTAGCGTACCATTGTCATAATGCTATTGCAAGCTTTAAGCTTTCAATAAAAGCTCAACGAAGACAAAGGAAATTTTTTGTTTTACAATTCTTCTTACAGATGGCGTTAATTTATATTTTTACAAGTGTTGAAAACTATTAATATTTGTTCAATGTAATAAATTACGGATTTATTTACAGATTGGATACGCTCATGGGTGGCGACTTCCAGCAATACAGAGCGAACGTCTACTGCCAGAGACCAGAGTGTCCACACGCCACAACATTCGGTAGGTTTTGTACAATGCGTGTACGATAACACGAGACTTTAATCGAACTGAAGTCACATCAGAATGCTATTTTATCTCTATCTAGCGACTAACTATCATCTGGTTATTTCCAGGAACAGGGCAGAACAAGGCGTCGCATTTCCACTGTTTGAAGTGCGATTTTGTGTGCACTGACACCAACAAGGTGGTCGCACATCGCCGCCAACATCAGAAACTAGACTCCATACAAGCGGCCGGGTTCGAGAAGTTTCCACCAAGCAAAGGTTAGTTATCGAGTACGTTTGATTATTTCATATTTCACTAGAATTGTTACTGTGTTTACTGACAAATAGGGTAATGTTTCTCGCGAGTATAAGTTTTTATGCATGTACATGTAAATTTCAATGTAACGGTCTACTGCCTAGACTACTGAACCGATTTTGATGAATGAGGTGTCATCCGTTTGGACCTTTTCTCCGGAGTGTCATAGGGTATAATTCATTAGCAAAAAACGACAAGAGGGGACTCGAGAATCATAATTCTGAAAAAAAAAAATAAAAACTCGAGTTCAAATTACAGTCGCCATAACTTTTTTTAAATGATTCTTCGCAGAGTATATGAATACTATGTAGTCAGTCGTTTTTTTTAATCAAGTTTATTATAATCAATTGTTTATTCCAGGTTGCGGTTACGAGCCTCAATGTATCCACAGCAAGAAACAGACCCACTATCATTGTTTGCAGTGCGGTTTCGCGGTGCTTGGTTTATCGCAAATGACGTCACACAAGTACAAGCATCAAGAGGCGAACCTCGGACCGTCCACTAGCGCCAACTGACCAACTACATCAGTGACATTTAATGGAACTTTTTAGTGTGTGCTTCGGAACGTAGCCGCTTATAGTATACGAAATGTTGATCTTAGAATCATCTAGTTTTTTCATTTTAATTCGGACTTTTATGTAATTTCAGCTTAAGGAAACAATTTTTAATGCTTCTACGTTTGATTTTTTTTAATGTTTTTGGTTTATAAAGATCCGAATTTAATATAAAATCTATGAAAAAATTATCCATCTAAATCGTGCCTTAGATGCAAGTTTAACTAGTGTACACACGCGGCGAGTCGTGTGCCAAATATCTTGTAGAAAAAAAACTATATGAGAATATTAAATTAATAAAACTCGTAGACAATAACATGAGATATCTAATAATCATAACGTACAGTGGTAAAAAGTGACATGTGTAACGTAATGTTGTGTATAGTCTCATGTTATCGTGACCGGGTTATACGATCGTGTGTTCAAGTTGCTAAAATGCATTTTGCATTAATATTAAGGTTTACAAATGATAGTGCATGTTAAGTGTGTATTTTCCTAAACTCCTGACCAATTTTTTAGGTGATAGTTAAAATTTAAAAAGATATTTATATTTATTACTACCCCCCATGAAAAAGACATTTTTACGGATAGTATTATTAATTTAGATTTCGTAAAATGAAGGCAATAATTGGGTTTAGAACACCATGTTGTGCCTAGAACAGACAATACATTTTTATGATAATTCCTGATATTAGTTATTTAGGAGAATGTCAGGGATTATCGGAAAAATCATAGATTAAAAAAACGAAAGTATATTAAAAAATATTTAACAAAAAAAATTGTCAATTTTATAAAACATTGTAAATAAGAATAGATTATATATTATCAGAAAAAAATGCTAAATGTTAATAATTGTTACGGAATATTGGAATTATAGAGTTGTATGAAAGTAAACGATTCGAATATGTACAGAACGAGTGCTAATTTGTGATTCATGAGGTAGCCATAAAATGCCATATAACTTCATACATATTTTTAGATATAATGTTAAAATTTCTAAATTCATTCGATTTATAAGATTTAAGAATAATCGAATTTGAAATGACAATATTTATAATAAGTCATTTAATTTTGTAACTTAATAAACCAAAAACACCGTGAAATAGACTTTACCTTTGCATTCCCGTTGTTTCCCGGAAACTTATCAAACCATTCCCGTGTGTAGTTTTAGCGGGTCATTGACCTGTGACCGACTTTGGTTCAACCTATTCCTAGCTTTTATCAGTATTTTGTTAGTTTAAGTCCTATCCTATTGTTCCTATATTACATTTCATTTCTAGTGAGCGTCCACTAGCAACAACTGGAGAAAAACGCATTATTTCAAAATACTGCAAATAAACAATGTAACACGTATTGCAAGTGGAAATTCACACTATCTTGTTTTGTATCTAATCTAAATAATTTCTTTTATTAATGTAAATTTATACTTTTAAGGCACTATCGGCCACACTGAACTGAATTTTTCAACATCAAAATTTAATTGAATTTCGTGTTCCATCGTGGTGTTATAAGAGGTGTTATTCAAATGTTTCAGTATATGGCCATTTGTCCTATCTTTAAAATAGTCCGTGCCATAAATTTTTTAGTCATGGTTTTGATGTTTAATTTTTACGTAAACTAGGTTTCTGTATCAACTAAATAATTTTACTCTCCGTGCGTTACGTTTTTTGTAAAACTTAATTCTCTAGTTGTCTGTATTGTAGATTTCAATTCTCATTGGCAAGTTATTTTCTATCATTATTGGTTGTTACGAAAACATTTGTTTTGTTATATAATTTTATGTTTCATGTTTTTTTTTTCTTCTCATACTTTTACGTTTTTGTCTTTCACAGACTTCTTTTAATATTAATCAAGTATTTATCTTAGTGTATTTAGCGTAAATTTTAGTTATTAAAAATAATTTAAATTCATCCTTAAATACAGTATTTTGTCAAAGTAAATGAAGTGTGGTGTGAAATATTAAATAAAATTTCGATTTGTCGTACAAAATTATCCCTTGTTTATATTTAATATGTAATTATCAGAATATATACGAATTATAATTTAAGCAGTTTCTTTCTATGAGATTAAAATTGGTATAAAATAGTTTAGCGTTGTTTACCTCATGAGTTCTAGAAATTAAATGAGAATATACAAAATTTTCTTTGTTTTTTATTACTTTTTTATCTAATTTATTTCAATAAACAGGCTACAAGAAGTAGCATGCTAACTATCGCCCGTGACTTTCAGCAAGGAATTAAAAAAAAAAATAATAAATAGCGTATGTATTCTTCCAGATTATGTTCTTTGTCAAATTTAATCGAGATTCATTCAGCCGTCTATGTGGTAAACTAACAAACATCCATCTAAACTTTCGCATTTATAAAATTCGTATTGTAACTTCTGCCGCTTGAAGTTAGAACGATCTAAAACCTATGACTATGATTTTTAATTCCTTCGTTCAAAGCAGCGAAATCTTTTTTATGTTATAAGGTGGCAAACGAGCAGGCGGCCATCTAAATTCGCCAAAATGACGAAGCGACCGCTGCCCATAGGCATTAGCAATAGCGGATGCGTTTCCTACATAAACAGGATATTTCCTCTTGCTATGCGTCTCTTCCACCGTCAAATCCATGTTTCCTTTCCATCCTATTGTTAGGAGAAAAACGGTGGAAAGGAAACGGGACTAAAGTTAGGCCAAAACTGAATAAATTACACTTTAGAAAAACCGACTAAAAGAAGAGTTAATATAACAAAGTATTCTTTCATGTTAACGAAAACGAAATGAAAATTCTTACATAAACAATTTAATTTCGTTTTCAATCTTGGTGTTCTTAAATAAATCCTCAAATGCAAAGTTCAGATTAATTTCGTACCGAGGGAAGCGCCGCTGACTGTCGGAGCTCGCTTTTGTTGAAATAAACGCCTTTTGTAGCTACGTCTTACAAAATTACAATTCAAAAGCACAATTTACTAAGTTTACCTTAAGTATTAAGTTTCTATACATTTCTGCTAATTGTATAAAGATATATGATGCCTTTAATAGACATGTCGTATACAGGTGCTACAAAAAGTTGTATCAACCTGTATTTTTTTATTGAAACATAAGAATAGACGCAATTCTAGTCAAAAAATGTATATAAATCTATAAGTAAGAAGTACATAACAAGAAGTATATACAGATAATAAAATTGGAGTGTCTGTTTGTAATATCAAAATAAAAATTCCAGATTTCGGGAAGATATTTGCGTTACTGATAACGAAAATCGCGTTTAAATTGTTTGTCTGTCTGTCTGTCCGCACGCTGCGTTTGTTCCGGGTAATCTCCGAAACGGCTGGGCCGATTTCGACCGGAATTTTACTGAAAGATACCTGACATATACAGGCATTTTATAGGCTACTTTTTTATCTTAATGTTGCGTGGACCAAGTCGCAAGTATCATAGAATGTCGAATATAGACAAACTATATGTAATTTTCGGCGCGATCTTTATATTTTTTGGTCAAGAATACATATAAATATAGTAGTTATCGAAAGCTATAAAAATATATGTTTAAGAGTACGTCGCATAGTATATATTCACAGAAAACGTAACGTCAATGGCGCTTTTCCATTGACCCTCCGAGTCGGAAGAACGTTCGTAAATTCATGTAAACGAATATTACAAAGGGAAACAAAACCACAATTATTAATGTATTTATTTATTAAGATACTTATCACTAACATTAACAGTATTTTAAATTGTAGAATTTAACTTGGACATTGTAAAACAATATTTCAATAAAATTATATCCTTAACCTGAATCTTCAATAACTAATTGATTTCCAAATTCATTGTCAATCGTGAATTAATTGTAGTTTTTTTATAATAATAATAATTAGATTATTAAATGTACAAATGGAAACTACACCGGACTCCGCCTCCCGCGGGCATCGGATCGATGTGACGCATGCGCAGACCGAGCCGCAGTATTGAATGGACCCATTCATAGCGCCTTCAGAATGAACTCTCTACGTATACCGCTCACGTAGCTATGCTCAACCCGGCCAGGACCACTACACATCATATTGTCTGCGAATATAGTAATACTTATTACTTACTAATATTAGAAGCTAGATGTCCGTGTATTTAACGTTGCCGAGCTATTATATGAAAATCAAAATACGCTCTACATTATTACTGAATTAATTCTGTATTCTTATGCATCTGTATTATTATACATAATCTCGTATTTACAAAATCAAGCCCAAGCTCAAGTCGAGGGCTTCAAGTAATATCCACATATGCGTTTTATTCTGTTGCTTTAAATTTTAACGTACTTTAAAGGGAAGTTAATTTTTATGTAATTATCAAACTAAATCTACACTAAAAGACACGGTTGTCAATTATGAAATAACTAAAAGTACTTGGGTCAATAAATTGTAACAAGATGGATGTCAAATTCTATTTTTAATTTGATTATTTGTTACTTAATTTCTTTAGTTACAAAAGCGACCAAAATCCAATTAAGATAAATCTATTTTCAGACATGAATTAGTTCGGAAGACATTTTTATTTTATATCTATTAATTTTGTTAATTAATAAATTATTTAAAGGCTCTTAGTAAATTTAAACATACCCTTTTATAGTGTCAACAAAATATACCGTAGACAATTAAGTAAACATAATTAGGTCCTGTTCAAGGAAAAATGATTGATCACATTTGAAACGCTAAAATAATCTCTTTGTTAGATTCGGCCTATTTTTGTCCCCAAACGAGATCCATCGATCACACACGAGCTGTGATACGATCGAGGAGGACGGAGGGTTTCGAGGGAGATAGTTCGATGACATTTAGGTCAGACTCACAAATCCCTTTAGCTATACCTGTTGTAAGGTGAAATGTATTTTAATATGAAAATTATACAAATAAGATTATTACATTTCAATAACATCTGAAACGCACAGGGGTATGCTTAGATCACAGATTTATATTTGGCGAACCTACAATTATCTTCCATATCTACTTATAATAAATTTGAGAATATACCTTTGGTATATTCGACATGACAGAGCAAATTTATTTTGTCGGAGCTTAAAATTCTATTTGACCTATTTCGATATTTCACGGAGTGAGCTACTCTTAGCCTGAAAATATACCTTTATTTCATGAAATGAATGAATTACATTTATGTAAGTTTATTTTTAGACCAGCTGTTGCGCACTGATAGACAAACAGACAGACATAAAAATTTAAATGCCAATTTCTTTATGAGCAACGCAAATACTTCATCTTCGGGAAATCTGATTTTTTTCTTTCAAAATTACGTTCAGACACGGCAATTTTATTATATGTACATATAGGTAATACAATAGTCGAATTAAGTGTGAATAAGTGCTGTTACTTTTACTATGTTTTCTAAGGAAGGAATATTTTTAATCTGTGTTCACTTTGCGTTTCTGGTCAGCTAATATCACCAGAAAACTATAACGATAAAAGTAATAACATTTGTATGCATAATAAACGATCTATAGAGACATTAATTCAATAAAGCGTAAAGCAAACATCACACCAATTTACTCAGTGAATCGTCTGGACATTGATGAATACAGTTTGCTTTTCATTTTGAATGTTAATTAGACGTCAACGTGAGACCGGATTATTCCCAAATATATTTTAATACTAGCTGTTACCGTGGGACTTCGTTCGCATGAAGTAATGAAAATTGTTTTATTGATTACATTTGTCAAATTCAATTGCAAATGTCAAAATGACATGACATAATGACAAAGCATGGCAATATTGCTTCCTTGGTGTTGGCAGCAACTTATGGTCTCTTTCCCACATTAGGGTTTTTATCCAAAATGTTTACGCCCTAAGTTTAATGGCGTGAAAATATATAGCCCAAAGCTTGACGTAAGTGTAGAGCTTTTTATTAAAAAAAGAATTATTCAAAAATATGCTGATATTGCTGACATCTTAGGTAACAAAGAAGTGTGTGTTTACGCTTTATTATAATAGTATAGACTAGCTGGTGCTGGCGACTTCGTCCACGTTAAATTTAAATGATTAGAAAAAATATAGCCTATGTTACTCAGTGATTACGTAGGTATTTAATTGTTAAATATATTTTAAATCGGCCCAGTAGTTTTTGAGTTATAACAATACATTCAAAAATCCGTAAATACAAATCTTTCCTCTTTATAATATTAGTATAGATGACAATTTGATGTGATATGTTAGTATGGGATAATTTAGTTAACAAATTCACTTAGCTAAATTTACACTGATTTTGAAACCTCATTTTAGAGAGATTTTTTCTAATCCCAGTACTGTGATCCACGGTATAAATATATATTTTCTCGATAGATTACGTGGGTAGTTTTCAATTCCGAGCTCCATTACTTGAGCTAACCATTCGAGCTTGTAAGTAATAAATGTCGTATCCGTTGCAGACATATTGAGTGCCTACGTTCTGCCTTCACTATGTTTTACTCGTACTGCAAACAACATTTGTGTTGGTCCCTTCTGATAGAGTTATAAGTTTTATAATTGTTACTGCTTTTGGATGTAACTATCTTTAACATATTTTTGAAAATAGCTTTTGCTTGCGAAAAATAGTGAATATAGCATATGTTACTACGTGATAATAAAGCTTTTTATTAGCGAAAGTTTTTTTTTTAATCTGCCCAGTATTTTTTTAGTTAATATATTGAATACAAAAATAAAAATCTTTCCTCGACTGTGTCCAAGAATCAATCAGGCTTGAATCCCATTATACCGTAGAACCGCGATAACTTAAAGTCCAAGGGAAACACAAAATATTTTAAGTTATAGAGGTTTTAAATAATCAAGGGTCTATGTTATAGAGGTTTTTGGCTCTGATAGGAAGGGAACATATTATTTATTGAAGTTATAGAGGTTTTTATGCTAGCGAGGTTTAAGTTATCGAGGTTCTATTGTAGTAACCTTGATTTTCCTGTTTTTTAAATGTTTTATTTATCTTTTTTTATTAATTAATCTTGTATTTTATTGCTTTTTTATCAAAAAGTGAATGAGAATTTAGGCACCTACTTACCTTTTAGTTACTTATCTATTACCGTTTATTTATATCTAAATATAACTTTCGTAAAAAGAAAATAAAACTACGAAAATATGAATCTATCATTACGTAACCTAA